CAGACGTTATTTTCACCGGCTGGAAAACGAGTTCCGGCACCGAATCCGCAGAAGTTTTTTTTCGGCTGGAAAACGATTTCGGGACAGAATCCGCAGAAGTTATTTTTCACCGGCTGGAAAGTGAGTTCCGGGACAGAATCCCCAGAAGTTATTTTCACCGGCTGGAAAGCGAGTTCCGGGATAGAATCCCCAGAAGTAATTATCAAAAGCTTCTAACTATATAAAGCTTGTCATTAAGCTACTTATAAAGCTCCTTACAGCCCCTTATAAAGCACCTTAAAAAGCTCCTTGCAAAGCTCCTTCTAAAGCTCTTTATAAAGCTCCTAGCTCCTTATAACACTCCTTGTAAAGCTCCTTACGAAACTCCTTATAAAGCTCCTTATCAAGCTCCTTATGAAACTCCTTCCCAAGCTCCCAGCTTTATAAGGAGCCAAGAAGAAGAGCTTTATAAGGAGCTTTGTATGGAGGAGCTTCGTAAGGAGGTTTGTAAGGAGCTGTAGAAGGAGCTTAATTGACAAGCTTTATAAAGAGCTTTATAAGGAGCTTTTGATGGGTGTCCCCGAAATCGTTTTCCAGCCGGTGAAAATAACTTCTGCGGATTTTGTCCCGGAACTCACTTTCCAGCCGGTGAAAAATAACTTCTGCGGATTCTGTCCCGAAATCGTTTTCCAGCCGGTGAAAATAACTTCTGCGGATTCGGTGCCGGAACTCGTTTTCCAGCCGGTGAAAATAACTTCTGCGGATTCTGCGGGCCAATGTTATAAAAAGCTTTATAAGGAGCCAAGCAGAAGAGCTTTGTAAGGAGCTTTGTAAGGAGGAGCTTCGTAAGGAGGTGTGTAAGGAGCTGTATATGGAGCTTAATTGACAAGCTTTATAAAGAGCTTTATAAGGAGCTTTTGATGGGTGTCCCCGAAATCGTTTTCCAGCCGGTGAAAATAACTTCTGCGGATTTTGTCCCGGAACTCACTTTCCAGCCGGTGAAAAATAACTTCTGCGGATTCTGTCCCGAAATCGTTTTCCAGCCGGTGCAAATAACTTCTGCGGATTCTGTACCAAAATCGTTCTCCAGCCGGTGAAAATAGCTTCTGCGGATTGTGTCCCGGAACTCGTTTTCCAGCCGGTGAAAAATAACGAAATCGTTTTCCAGCCGGTGAAAATAACTTCTGCGGATTCTGCAGGCAGATATAAAAAGCTTTATAAGGAGCCATATAAAGAAGATCTCAATGAAGAGCTTTATAAGGAGCTTTGTCAGGAGGAGCTTTGTAAGGAGGTTTGTAAGGAGCTGTATAAGGAGCTTAATTGACAAGCTTTATAAAGTGCTGTATAAGGAGCTTTATAAGGAGCTTTTGATGGGTGTCCCCGAAATCGTTTTCCAGCCGGTGAAAATAACTTCTGCGGATTCTGTCCCGAAATCGTTTTCCAGCCGGTTGAAAATAACTTCTGCGGATTCTGTCCCGGAAATCGTTTTCCAGCCGGTGAAAATAACTTCTGCGGATTCTGCGGGCCAATGTTATAAAAAGCATTATAGGGAGCCAAGCAGAAGAGCTTTGTAAGGAGCTTTGTAAGGAGGAGCTTCGTAAGGAGGTGTGTAAGGAGCTGTATATGGAGCTTAATTGACAAGCTTTATAAAGAGCTTTATAAGGAGCTTTTGATGGGTGTCCCCGAAATCGTTTTCCAGCCGGTGAAAATAACTTCTGCGGATTCTGTCCCAAAATCGTTTTCCAGTCGGTGAAAATAGCTTCTGCGGATTCTGTCCCGGAACTCGTTTTCCAGCCGGTGCAAATAACTTCTGCGGACTCTGTACCAAAATCGTTTTCCAGCCGGTGAAAATAGCTTCTGCGGATTGTGTCCCGGAACTCGTTTTCCAGCCGGTGAAAAATAACGAAATCGTTTTCCAGCCGGTGAAAATAACTTCTGCGGATTCTGCAGGCAGATGTAAAAAGCTTTATAAGGAGCCATATAAAGAAGATCTCAATGAAGAGCTTTATAAGGAGCTTTGTCAGGAGGAGCTTTGTAAGGAGGTTTGTAAGGAGCTGTATAAGGAGCTTAATTGACAAGCTTTATAAAGTGCTGTATAAGGAGCTTTATAAGGAGCTTTTGATGGGTGTCCCCGAAATCGTTTTCCAGCCGGTGAAAATAACTTCTGCGGATTCTGTCCCGAAATCGTTTTCCAGCCGGTGAAAATAACTTCTGCGGATTCTGTCCCGGAACTCGTTTTCCAGCCGGTGAAAATAACTTCTGCGGATTCTGCGGGCCAATGTTATAAAAAGCTTTATAAGGAGCCATATAAAGAAGATCTCAATGAAGAGCTTTATAAGGAGCTTTGTAAGGAGGAGCTTTGTAAGGAGGTTTGTAAGGAGCTGTATAAGGAGCTTAATTGACAAGCCTTATAAAGTGCTTTATAGGGAGCTTTTGATGGGTGTCCCCGAAATCGTTTTCCAGCCGGTGAAAATAACTTCTGCGGATTCTGTCCCAAAATCGTTTTCCAGCCGGTTGAAAATAACTTCTGCGGATTCGGTGCCGGAACTCGTTTTCCAGCCGGTGAAAATAACTTCTGCGGATTATGCGGGCCAATGTTGTAAAAAGCTTTATAAGCAGCCTTATGAAGAAGATCTCAATGAAGAGCTTTATAAGGAGCTTTGTAAGGAGGAGCTTTGTAAGGAGGTTTGTGAGGAGCTTTATAAGGAGCTTCATTGACAAGCTTTATAAAGTGCTTTATAAGGAGCTTTTAGTGGGTGTCCCCAAAATCGTTTTCCAGCCGGTGAAAATAACTTCTGCGGATTCTGTCCCGTAATCGTTTTCCAGCCGGTTGAAAATAACTTCTGCGGATTCGGTGCCGGAACTCGTTTTCCAGCCGGTGAAAATAACTTCTGCGGATTATGCGGGCCAATGTTATAAAAAGCTTTATAAGGAGCCTTATAAAGAAGATCTCAATGAAGAGCTTTATAAGGAGCTTTGTAAGGAGGAGCTTTGTAAGGAGGTTTGTAAGGAGCTGTAGAAGGAGCTTAATTGACAAGCTTTATAAAGTGCTTTATAAGGAGCTTTTAGTGGGTGTCCCCAAAATCGTTTTCCAGCCGGTGAAAATAACTTCTGCGGATTCTGTCCCGTAATCGTTTTCCAGCCGGTTGAAAATAACTTCTGCGGATTCGGTGCCGGAACTCGTTTTCCAGCCGGTGAAAATAACTTCTGCGGATTCTGCGGGCCAATGTTATAAAAAGCTTTATAAGGAGCCTTATAAAGAAGATCTCAATGAAGAGCTTTATAAGGAGCTTTGTAAGGAGGAGCTTAATTGACAAGCTTTAGAAAGTGCTTTATAAGGAGCTTTTGATGGGTGTCCCCAAAATCGTTTTCCAGTCGGTGAAAATAGCTTCTGCGGATTCTGTCCCGGAACTCGTTTTCCAGCCGGTGAAAATAACTTCTGCGGATTCTGCGGGCCAATGTCAGCATTCCATAGCATTCAGCATTTCTATTCCAGAGTCTGCTCAGTGACGCACGGGAGCCAAAATGGCTCTTGAATCGTTGCAGATGTGTGGCAATCCACTCTCCCATCCAAGAACTTGCCTTAACTTTTTTGGGGGGGACCTTTGGAGGGGGGACCTTAGGCCCTGGTGACTAAAGGATCCTAATCGGATCAAAAACCTACAGATTCCAAACCCAGCATGCCGAAAATGCTTCAAGCTGGTCTGAAAATTGTTTTGCACAAGCCCAAAATAACATTTGGAGCCATTTGAGGCCCTCAAAACCATTGTGCATAACACCGACCACTTTCCCTTTCGCTCGCCCTTACGCCCTCTTTCGCGACCACAGTGTGGCGACACCTTGTATATCCACTAGGTCTCCCGTACACGAAGCCTAGTTCCGTCGATTTAGATCGACTCCCAAATGGGTGTGGTGGTCAAAAAAGAAAATCGGGTACCCTCCCGCCCTTTTTGACATGGAACCTGTTCGGGGGTCCCAACAGGAGAATTGTCTTAGAGAACCCCTGTGAGCTTCCATGATAGTTGGTGGGAGGGTGACCCCAAAATGGGTTAAAGCTGCGGCGCCCTGGAGGCTAAGCTTCGATCCATACCAGAACCCTCTGGGAGTGCCCGAGGGGGTACCAAAGAAGAAAAAGAAGGTGCGCCGCCCAATGGGAAGCCGGAAGCCTTACTGGTTCGGAGTTCCCATCAATGTGCCCAACCCTGTTGCAAAAGGGTATCATAGGACTCGGGGGGTTGGGGTTTGCCCTTCAGACATGGGGGCGCTCACGGCCAATCCAGAGCTCTGCCACATTGCTGCCAGGCCGCTTCAGCTCAGTGTAAACCTCAGCTCGAGAAAGCTCGCGCTCATGTCTTCCGTTCGGCCAGGGAGAACAAGGACGCAGGATCTTCGACCGAAAGCCTCCCGTAACGCTTTGGACCTCCAGGCCTTTTGATGCAGCCCGCCAGCCCCATTGCCAAAGCTCTGCCTACCGGGGAGGGAGAAACCACCCCCAAAGCTATGTTGAGAACGACGGTTTTTCCGATGCCAGGGAGCAATCTTTTTCTCCGATGTGCTGGAGATGATGAGAAACTGCTTCGGCGTCAGCTGCGGGGCTGCAAAGGTGGGGTTGAAGTAGTCCACGCCTGTTGAATCCGAGGGCCCCGTATAAACACCAAAAAACGCAGCGCTTGGCTTCATGGTGGCTTCTTTTGATTGCCCCAAAATGCTAGAAACTCTCTGCGCATTCCACGCGTAAACGATCGTGTGGACAATGGCATGCCTCCATGCCCTACGCTGTTCTCGTGTCTCAGGAAAATGGAGGGGGCTAAAGAAAAAAAACAATGACCCACCGCGTGGGGTAAGTGTGCAATGTGCTCGGTTGAACACAAAAAAGACTGCCGGGGTGCGCCCTCGAATGCACCTCCCTTCCCTGCTTTGTCAATAGGCGGCATGGGTCGCATGCCCCGCATGCCCCGAGCTGGGGCTGGCACCGGCGCTCAGCCGGGCGCCGCCTCAACTCGCTGCGATGGGATGCCACCGCAGCACGGGGCAAGGCCAGTGTGCACGCACGCATGAGCATAAGCGCACACACAACACACAAACACAAGCAAGCAAGCAAGCAAGCAAGCAAGCAAGCAAGCAAGCAAGCAAGCAAGCAAGCAAGCAAGCAAGCAAGCAAGCAAGCAAGCAAGCAAGCAAGCAAGCAAGCAAGCAGCAAGCAAGCAAGCAAGCAAGCAAGCAAGCAAGCAAGCAAGCAAGCAAGCAAGCAAGCAAGCAAGCAAGCAAGCAAGCAAGCAAGCAAGCAAGCAAGCAAGCAAGCAAGCAAGCAAGCAAGCAAGCAAGCAAGCAAAGCAAAGCAAAGCAAAGCAAAGCAAAGCAAAGCAAAGCAAGGCAAGCAAGCAAAGCAAGCAAAGCAAGCAAAGCAAGCAAAGCAAGCAAAGCAAGCAAAGCAAGCAAAGCAAGCAAAGCAAGCAAAGCAAGAAAAACGCAAGAAAAACGCAAGAAAAACGCAAGAAAAACGCAAGCAAAGCAAGCAAAGCAAGCAAAGCAAGCAAAGCAAGCAAAGCAAGCAAAGCAAGCAAAGCAAGCAAAGCAAGCAAGCAAGCAAGCAAGCAAGCAAAAAACAACAAATACAGATACGCGAACAAACGAAATGCCTCGGGCAGGTGGACAACGCGAACAAACGAAATGCCTCGGGCAGGTTGGCCATGGTATTTGCTGGGACTGCTGTTGCAATCCAGTCTGGAAGTTAAATTTGTCCGCTCCTGTCATTCCATGAAGAGGCATGTCAGCTAGAAGCCAGGAATGACTTGTGGCTGCTTGAGGAACCCATTCACATAACACATTGACATGCACAAGTTGACAAGTTCCGCTGATTCAAAAAAAGCTAGAGCCTCTATATAGCATATATGTATATATATATATAGTCTGATTGAGTTATTTCACCACACAACTTGGTCCCGTTGCGTGGCGACTACGGGGGGCCAAAAAGACGGTGCATTCTGAGCCGGGGAATTTGAGGCCTGGCTTGCAAACTGAATCCGTGTTGAATCGAATCCAACTGCCTGTAGCCCCAAACTGGGGGCACGGCCCCATAGGCTGCCTTTCAAGCTGACCTCGAGAACGTGCAGCTGCCCCCGGGCTTTCGTGAAAGCCCCTTTCAGCTTGGTGTCCATTTGGCCAGTTTTTCTCTGCCGAATTCAGACCGTCTCGCCGTGAGGTATCAAGCCGCTTTGACTTGCCATTTCCACAACTTCCCTACCCAGAAAAGCTACAAACCGAAACGAGCACATCCAACATCCCCACCTTCCCAAAACAAGAAAAAGGGGGCCGAACCTTATGTAAACCCAGTTCCTTGTTGTAGGGGGGGATCAACCAAGCCTGGGTGAAATCAAGACTGCAGGGTCCCTACCATCAAAACAGGGTTCTTCGGACAGTAGCCCACATGTGCGTGGGGGGGGGGAGAGGGATAGTAAAAAAAACGGACCGACCCGCAACAGCAGCCAGGCCGCCCCATCTGCCAAAGGCGCACCGAGCGCCAGGAGAACCCAAAGGCGCCTGTGGTCGTCGCCCTCCCCCCCCCCGCCCCGGCCACGTACACTCAGAGTCTATTTGCAGCCTGAAACCCTTAAAACAGGTTGCAAAATAGACCCTAGCTGTCCATCATACCCCCCCCCATGCTCCCCATTTGACCGGGCTCCCCGACAAAACCATTGCCAAGCTTGATTTGTGTGTCAGTGCGCGTCGCCAAGATTGGAGCAAACTGCGAGATGCTTGTGCTTCATTATGTTCTATCTCATGTGACGGCGAAGTCGAAATCCCCCAGTGCTGGGCGCAGTATCTATCTTCCCACAGCCACCCCAACAGTGGTAGGCTTAAGGGACATGGCCTGATATGTCCGACTTCGATAACCTGTGAGTCAACTTGGGTGACTGTTCTGAGGTTTTCCTGTTCTGAAAGCTACTTTTGTAGTAGAATACCAGGCACCGTCGCCAGCGCTTTTGAGCCCCTGGCATCCCAGCGCAGCCTCAGATCAAAGAAAGGCTCGTGTTGGCAAGGAAACCGCCCATTTTAAGGGCCCATGGCAGCCTGAAGTGACCTGACCCCCTGCTTAGGCCGAGTGTCCCATAAAAAACAGGGAGTTTCACTCTTTCACCCTCATTCCCCTTCAAAAGGCCCAACTCGGCACGGGAAGGGGGGCAGGCCTAGGGCCAAGCCGAGCTCGCCCCGCGACGTCTGAGGCATTGGCTTACGAAGAGAGGGCGAGGGATTTTCTTTCGCCCAATGATCCGCTACTGGATGAGGAACTTCATGAGCTCGAGCCAAATGGCCAAGAAAGCCAACGCTGCCAAGCCGAGGGGCGGCTGACGGCGAAAAGCCTCCCTCTCGCCCGGAGGTCGGAAGCTTCTTTTAGCACCATGGCACGGATGACCAGTCCAGCACCGCAACGAGACTTCCATTGCCTACGAGACTTCCCTTGCCGACGAGCCAGGTCGAGACTTGTTGGTTTGCAGCGCCAAAGAACGAAAGGGCACTTTAAAGCGTTGTGAAAAGAGGAAGTGCCCCTTTGATTGGTTGGGCTACAACATCCTCCCAGGAAGAAAGAATCCCAACCCGCCATGAGCGCCCCTTCAAGCTTGGCTTTAGCCAAGACGCGGCGCTTGCCGTGGCTTGCTTCCTTCGCTGGGGATGCGGCAGGCAGCCCTAAGCGCTAGCTACATTCGCGCTGTGTTTGTACAGCCAGGTGAAACACACCTCCAGTCTGCATCAAACCATCCCCTCCCGAAACAAGTGCGGCGAATAGACGCACCCACTATTGCGCATTGCTCAGCGCAAGAACCTCTAGCAAACTGGAGCTGTATTGGGCCTTCATGCAAGAAAGCGCACCTGTCTAAAACAATGCGCTCGAGCTGATCCGCCCCAAAGTCAACTGAAACTTGCTGGGCTCGGTGCAAAACTGAAGCAACCTGAAACACGTTGTAGTGTTGGTTTGGACACCTATCGGGCCATATCAAGCTGAAACACATATTGCCTCGGCAGGATCAGCGCCTGCCGAAAACGAATTGGCCGGACAATCCAGCAGTCAGCAATGGGCGGAAGCAATGGGCGGATGCAATCCACGAGAAATGCCGGGGCACTAGGAACTCATCGGCAAGGACTTTTGCAGTGTCTCTGCATTTGGTGCTCTGGGATTTATTGAAACTTTCTCTCCAAATTACCTGGCTATATGGTGGTTTAAGGGGAACAACCCTCAAAGTAATTTTGAGAGCCCGCAAACTGTGCACGTGATTGTGCTTAACATGGATGTCAGCGAGAGTGCGCGTGTCTCATGATGACGTGTGTTCATCACATTGGGATATGGAGAGTGCGCCAATTTGAGGGCATGCCGAGCCAAAAAAATCTCCGTGGCTAAACAAGTGCTTCCTCCCCTATGATTGTTACTTCATATGGCTTCAAAGCGCGCACCAGGCCCTCGTAATAAGAGTACCTAGGCCAAGTTTGGAACTTGCAACTGCTCTGTTATTCTCTCCAGCCATCTGATGGGTGCCAAGAGAAACTTTCACAATGGTGTTGTGATAGGGAATCCCTGAACAATTTTTACGCTCTTGCGGCTTCCCTTCAAACAAAACGCTCACATCAATGACAAGCCCGCTGAGGGTCTTCCGCCAAAAGCCTTGCTGGACTGCTGGGCTCACATCGTCACATCGCTGGAGTCCCTGCGCGCGAGCAAGACCTGACGCACCGGTTCTGGACGCATCAGAATCTCCCCGAAAGCAGCGATGGTTTTGAAAAAATACGGCTGCCACGCTTGCCAAAGCCAAAGCACCAAGGAGCTGCGGCTGACCAACTGGCGCCGCCCAGCCCAGGCCGTCCGTCCCCCCCCCCCCCGCCCTTTCCCCCGGGGCGCGCGCCGTGAGCGCTGCGACCGGAAGGACTGCACGCTGCCCGTGGCCTCGAGAATTGGACCCAAGGCTTTTCGAGCGAGCGCGCGCAAGCAAAGTCTCCTTGGAGCACGTCTCACGACTTGGTGGGTGAAGAGCAGTGGCTACGCGCGCTAAGTCTGAAAGCCAATGAGTAGATGATAAGATGAATCAACCTGGAGGGGGTTGAGGGCGTTTCCACCCAAAGTGAAGAATGCCCTTGAAAGTGGCCCGTGATTGAGCCGAGGGCCGAGTAGTCCTGGGTTCCCAACTGCGGAAGCGCTGCTTGATGCTGCTTGTAGCAAGGGCCAAGATGTGGCAATATTGTGTAGGTAAAGAGAATTGAATTTGGCTTGACCAATGACCTGCGCATATTTGGGCCCAGTTCCTGTGCTGAATCGATTGCATTTCCTTGCACTTCGTTTCGGTCGCCAGTGCAACGTAATGTGCAACGGGGACCCCCGATTCATAAACACCTGGGCTGGTTGACGATTCTAAAGGGAATTCGACCTCTCTGTTTGCGGATCCGCAGATTTGCGGCAGCCCAACTCTACCTCCCTTGGCCGCCTTGGCTGAGGGGTCACCCCCGGGCACCTGCCGTCTGCAGGATCGGCGCGCGCGCATTTTTGGCTTCTATCCCTTGGGCACCAGCCGGCCGCGGAGGCTGAGGAGAGGCCTGCAGCGAGAGGAGTCGTCGAAACCCAAAAAGAAACCTGTGCTGCCTCTAGACTTAGACTGGCTGTGTGGTCCTATGTCTGTGCAAAAAAACATGCCTTGGAAATCGGGCCTGTCTCCAAATGCAGGGATGTTCCGTCGCGTTCCCGCGGCTCGATCCAAAAAAAGACCCACGCGAGTGAGCAAGAGACCGTTCCCAAGTGGCCAAGGGAGAGGCCAAAAGGAAAAGGGACGGGAAAAGCAGAAGTTACAAGTTCGAATACGGTTGCCCTTTGCCAAGGTGCGAACAAGAAAGTGATGCCAACCCATAGTCTAAAGAACACGCCCCATAACAAATGCCATCCATGTTGCGGTGGGGATTCGACAACAGCATTAGCAGCATTGCAGCCAAGGCAAAGCTGCGATATTTGCACCACTGACTCATTGCTTGCCTGCTTGCCTGCTGCCTGCCTGCCTGGCTGACTGCCTGACTGACTGGCCCGTTGCAAGCGAGCGGCAGTGCTGAATCTGATCCCAGTGCTGGGACGCGAGGGCGGCTCCTCGATGCCAATGTAACCTCGCAGGCTTAGAGTTGCCGACAACTCTGCCAGTGACTTGGGATTACTTCTCAGGCTGAGGGCTCAACCCGTATCAAGGGCCTGGGGTGCCTATGGCGCATGTATACTGCCTTTGCAAGTTATGTAACTTACTTCTTGGTATAGAAAGGGTAAATACTAGGGGAGCCTTGGCCCGCCCAATGCCAGATATGCCGACCGCTACACAGACCACAACAGCGAACTGAGGCACCCGCGTCTGGACATGTCCACGAACGGGGATGGGACCCCTGCTGCCTGATGGTAGCCTTAATCAGGCTGAAAGCAGGGGAAAAGAGATTGTAGCAACCCGAAAAAGGCAAACCTGCAACCAAGTAAGGCACACTGAAATGTGCACAGCCGATAATCATGGCAAATGCAGTTTTGTGTCAGGGATTAGTGTCATTTTTGTCACCCGGATGGAGAAAGGTACAACTTGAAAGAACGCAACAAACGCCACGACGTCGACTTGTGCCGCGCTGGATGGCCTGGACAGCAAACAACCCCACCGCCCCATCAAAACAGCCGCGGCCAGCACCAAGACTGCGATCAACGAAAGGCCGACGCGATGAACACCGTTGCCGTTCGTAGCAGTACCTTCAATCAGCTTTGGTGGTTCTTCGGACCTGCGAAAATTTCTGCACCCTGGTCATACGACAGAACACTACCTGGGCTCCTGATGTGCGCAAAGCTTCCGCAGCTTGCACGCAGATTGATTGATGGCTACCCGCTCTGAAAAAGAATTTGCAAGAAGACAGCGTAACCACAAGTACACCGCAATGGAAGTAACACCCCTAAAATGCATGGGCACACCCGCCTTCAGCCAAGAGCTACCAATACCGTGAAAAATATTCTACCAGCACAAGCTGCTTCACGTCCAGACTAAACCCTCCTCTCCGACCCCAGACTTGTTGTGCGGCGTGCTAGACACCAAACCGCAGCCATTTCAGAGAACACGGCCCGCAGAGCAGCAGTACTCACGCCAACACCAACAACAGAAACTAAAAGCAACACGACACAACCGCTGCGACAAGCGGAAACACGCCAACACAACCACAACGCGACACGTTAAGCTCAGGGCGTCTGCCAATGGCGCACCAAGAGTTGTTGAAGAACTCCTCGCCGTCGTTGCCAAAGGCTGGTGGCTTTGGGACTGAGCAAGGGAGCCCAGGCACCCTTTTGCAGCCAGGGCAGCAAATTTGCCCCCCTCTTGGAGAGGTGCCCCCCCCCAAAAAAAAAACGGCAGCCACCAAGGCACAGAACCCAGATGCCCCGAGGTCGGTTCCCGATCCCCAGGTCCTTGGGGTTGCCCGTGTGCTCGTGGCGCCGCAGCGTGGGATGGGTGTTCAGCGCGTGGCTGGGGTGGTCCTGAAGCGAAGGCTGGGGTCTGGAGCCTAAGGGGCGCACCGAAAGTTGTCCAGGCACCGATGTAATCAAAGTGACGAGCAGAACGGCGGGTCAATTGGGGCGGGAGGAAGAGCTTTCTACATTGCAGATATGGTCGGCAAGTGGTTTTGCCCTAGGTTCAGCAACCACTAAGTGCAGGTTCTGAGGCCCCGTGAAACCTACGATCAAGAAGGAACTGCATAAGCCATCCACAGACTGCATCAAGAGACGGGCGCCCTGAACGTTTCAAAAGAACTGCATTTGAACCATCCATGCAACAAAAGTGCCTTGTGAGGAGTTCGGAGGTTCATGCCAAGCGAAAAAGTGTGCTTTGCAGAACCCGGGAAATTGCGCCTTGGCCTCCTTGGAGATGACCTCGGACCACAGCCTGAGCCAGGCAAGCCGAGAACCAACGGCTCGGCCCTTCCACACATCTGCATTATTTTACGATATGTCCAAAAACTGATGTTAGGGATCCCTAATCAAATGAGTTTTCTCATGGTGAGCTCGTTCTACCCCCAATCGGTGAGCTCGCCATAAATTCTGCAAACAAATGCGTGCGTGTCTTGAAGTGGGGGACCCCAATAGCTTCAGCTTTACGTAAGGTGCGTTTCAGGTGGCGCCCGTAGCAGGGCCCGTAGCAAACCAGGCACGATCCACGCAGCAGTGGTTGCAGCATTGTCAATCTGCTTGCATCACCCTGACATGCGTGTTTTCCGCCACCAAAGTTCTTTGTGGACACAACCAACCCTCCCACCCCACACCCCCCAAA